CAAACAAATAGAAATTTTGGCTTTATCTGTGTTTATTTGATAGCACATGAAAAACTGCACTTTCAGGACAAATCGGACAAGAAAAATGAAAACGGGGTAGCGGGTACACATGACGAAGGTGAAGGCGAAGGCGAAGATGAGGAGGAAGGTGAAGAGGAAGGCGAAGAGGAGGAAGGTGAAGACGAAGAGGAAGGAGAAGGAGAGGGCGAGGACGAGGAAGAGGGCGAAGATGAGGAAGAGAAGGCCGTCGAACACGTATTTACATTGCCAACATCAGCCAAGGGAGAGGTCGAGAAAAAAGAAAAAGTGGAAGATGAGCAGAAGAATGAAAAGAAGAAGGAGAAGGAAAGCAGTGCAGAGGTGAGTCTTCGATAACAAAGTGCAATTTCGTAATACTCAGAAAGCCGTATTTTGCTGAAAGTATTATGTTTAGGTAGAAGAAACGGCTGTAATAAGGCTAGGCAATACGGCGGCGGAAGATGACACCAAAGATGAAGAGTTAGATGAAGAGGAAGAGGGTGAAGAAGAAGATGAAGAAGAAGGAGAAGACGAAGGAGAGGAAGAGGATGAAGAAGAATACGAAGAAGAGGAAGAAGCCGAATGATTGACACGGCTTAACGACGTCATTTATAGTGGTTGATGTGTAGGATACATTAGCATGCGTCTATACTCAGCGAACGTGCGGCACTAATGCTAGTTTTACATGAAATGTCAGCTTCAAGTTCACTAAAGTATAGACGCAGCCTTAGCCAACTCTTCAAATTCGCACAAGCATTCGTCGGGTATCCTGGGGTTGTCAATTTTGATATACATTGTTTTTTATAGCAAATTTTTTTTCTAATTATAGAACTATTGATTTTCATAAATATTGATTTTGCAAGTATTCTCATCGAAATTCACAGCGCTTTCAAATATGAATCCAGTCTTCTTGTACCGATTTGTCACTTTTTTGTTCTGCTAATTTATGTGTAAAATGATTTGCCAATTTGTCTGTAACTTTGTGCTTGTACATATGTAACAATAAAAGAATCGATGTATTGATTGTTACATAATAAATTGACACGATATCTTAGAGAAACAACTAAGCAAAACAAAACAGTGAGAAAGCCAATGAAAATCACTACTAGAATCTGTCTATCTATTGAATGTCACGAACTAAACGACAAATTTAAAACGAGTAATAAAACAAAAATGTAGCCCTCATAGGGCATAATCTTCCCGTCAAACGTGAGAATGCTTACTGCGGAAATGATTCTTGGAAATGTGTTTGACCCTCAGCAAGCTTGAATCTATTCAAACTTTGAGGCCGATGTCAGACTTTGCGAATCGCGCGCCAGTGAATCACTCAATTGGCTGGTACCGCAACGCGACCGCGGACGCTAGCGAATCGCGCGATTCGCAAAGTCTGACATCGGCCTGATATCAGCACTGCGCATCACCTCACAAGAAGACTGAGTGAAGAAAATCATCCTTTCGAAAGAGCGTACGGAGTCCATACTCAACTAACTTTTAGACACCAGCTACCAGGCAGCCAAAAAAGAATACCAGAGTATAGGGAATCGTTAGGTCTGGCTTGACCGTGGTCTTGTGAGGTGATGAATAAAGTAGCTGGGTGTTTACATAGTAAAAAAGAATACTCGATCATGAAACCCTCTCAATCGATCGAAAGTACTCTTGTATCTATCTGCTCTACTGAATAGTAGATTAACAAGTTATATCTAAACTAATTATATGAACAAAACATTGACAATAAAAAGCATGTGAAACTGAAATTACCCATCGGCAAAGAAATATCAAAGTCGGTTCCAAAATATTTCATCGCGAAACTGTACGGAACTCCAGTCGTTACGTCCGAAGTGATTACAGTAACACGTGGGAACTTCTTGCAAATAGTTTTGATGCCTGAAGATAAGCTTTTGAACATGTTATACTAATCGCACGATCTACTATTCGTGCTCCCTCAGAAGCAGGCTGAAGATTGTCGAGGATTTCCTCGAAGATTTTCGCGCGCCTTGCGCACACACACACTTTCTCCCCGCACGCACGAGCCATCTGTGCTCTCCGCGCTACACTCACATTCGACACACAGCACAAAGCCGTAATCGAGGATTTCCTCGACCATTTCTCGCCCTGCTCAGAAGTATGCCATCCATGGGCGCATAGATGGCAAGGACTTGAAAGCTCTTTTTTAATCGCGTATTCCACTTATTCCGGTTATCTTTTGTTGGAATGCCATTATATTTCGTATTCTCATTACAGATCGGAAACCGCGGTTGTAAGCACGAATAATATGTAATTCCGCAAATGACACTTAATGTCGCAATCCGTATAAGAGGCTACATGAGGGACCTAAGGTTCAAAGCACCGCAGCTTTTGATTTCCAAGAAACAATGCCAACTTGTAATTTAATATTAGGATGGTAAAAAAGTCCTGAGCCGTTTGACACTTTTTTGTTCTTTGCTTTTTTATTCCGCGTACAATGGAATCTACTCAACAATATAATCACCATTGTTACTCACTACAGAGTCCCACCTAATGGGCAGGTCAGCGACCCCTTCTCCCAGAACTGAGCAGACTGAGAGTCAAAGAAATCGCTGACCGCTCTTTCAACGTCTTCAACTTTGGTGAATTTTTTCTTCGCTAGGAATGCCTTAAGGGGATGAAATAAGTGATAATCAGAGAGGGCAATGTCAGGGGAATAGGGTGGGTGGGAACCGCGTCCCAGATCAGCTCTTCCAATTTTGCACGGGTCTCTTTAGCTATGTGGGGCCTGGCGTCATCGTGGAGTAGGTGGACAGAAGTTCGTCTCGGTCGTTTTTCTTGAACAGCGTCCGCTAGTTTGGAGCTGACTGGCGTAAATGCTGCCGGTAGCGGTATGTCTTTGCGGGAGCATCTCATAATACAGCATTCCTCACGAATCCCAGAGGTAGCAAAGAAGACAGCTTTTGGGGTGAAGGTCCGATTTTGCTTGTGTCGGCGGGTCTTCTCTTCGAGGGAGCCACACGGCACTGTGCTTGTTAGAATCGTAGAGGACCCAACTCTCATCTCTCGTAATCATGCCTTCCAAAAACGCCTTTCAGTGCGGACAAAGAAGGAGAAACTAAGAAATGGGTAACCGATTGAACCGCGTGTTATCGGCCAAGACATGAGGGATTCATCGAGTCGGCACTTTCCTGTGGCGAGGGCGTGGAGGGGACCGAGGACTGTGGGATGGGTGCACCCGAGTCTTGTCACAAGGCTGCGGGTGCTAACCTCCGGATCCTCTTCGACAGCGCCGAGAACGGTGGAGTCTTCCACTGTTTGGGGGCTTCCCAACCTTGTCTTGTCTTCGAAAGCCGTGTCTCCTCCTTCGAAGCCTGCGAACCAGAGCTTGGCACTGATGATGGAAGTGGTGTCCCTTCCCAATGCGATGCTGATAATGTTGACGGTTCCCACTGCTCCTGTGCCGCAGCGCCATTCATTGAAGATGATCGCTCGAAGTGCTCTTGTGGAATCGACATCATGATTAAAGTTAAAGAAGGCAACCCGGCTATATATACCTACTGCGGAGAAGTATGATCGACAGCGATAATCTATCACGTAGCAGATTCTAGGTATCATCAATAAGCGAAAGTTCTGGAGCTTTCGAAAAATCGGCTCAGGACTTTCTTACCATCCCAATATAAGATTAACTCACTGTGAGGTGTGATGAAAAGTGTTGTTAAGTAAATGTTCTCTTCCTCCACTTTAGAATCCATGAGAGCGCTTATGGCCTTTAACACGGTCGTTCCGGTGCTGAAAGAACAGAAAATTCGTTCTAATCCTTCGTCAAATCCTCAAATTTCATCAATCACTTCCTCGACCTTTCAGATTGTGCTTTGGCCTACTATTCCCGTTCTTAATGAAGTATCGAGTGCCGCATAAGACATCGATAGATGGGTTGTGCGCAGCGTTCAGAGAATGAGTGGGGGGTGCTATATGGAGCGCTTGTTGTGAGAAATCAAGAAAAATTCCCCGAAAACATCAAGGATGGGATCCTTACCATCAGTTTATTCATTGATTCGCAACTATGGACGAGTCAGCAACTGAGGATGAGCTCATTTGTACGTGTTAAACCGACACAGTCGCCATCATGATCAACAAACATCATTCTTTGGTTGACAACTTTGTGCACAAATTAGGTTGGAAGACACGGCCTCCTTGGGGTGGGAATGCTCCCACGAGAACGCCGTCAATACTTCCTTTACCACTTGGCTACTCCTTCCTGTAGCGCACGTTTCCCCCTGCGCACTCACTTTCTGGTTACGGCCGATGTCATAGTTTGCGAATCGAGCGATTCGCTAGCGAATCGCTGGATCCGAGCGTTGCGCCAGCGAATCGAACGTTGCACCAGCGAATCGAACTTTGCGCCAGCGAGTCGAACGATGTACCAGCGACTCAACACTGTTTGAAAGTGGCGGGACCCAACGTTTAAAGGAAGTCCCGCCACTTTCAAACAGTGTCGAGTCGCTGGTACATCGTTCGATCCGCTGGTACATAGTTCGATCCGCTGGTACACAGCTCGATTCGCTGGTGCAACGCTCGTATCCAGCGATTCGCTAGCGAATCGCTGGATTCGCAAAGTCTGACATCGGCCTACCACTGTCGTTAACCGATCGTATGCTGCTTACGATGTCATGTTCTTATTAAGAACATCATATGTGAAGGTAATCAGAGCATTCAGGTACACACACCACACCTCCACTTCGATGTGCTCAGAAATCTTATAGGAACACTCTTAGACTTCAAACCTTTCCAAAACTATTACACAAAACAAAATAATGAGCCACTCGAAAGTACCCATAGAAATTTCCCATATTTGCCAAACACTACTTAACGCTGCCTCTTAAAGGGTTACTCACCTTACAACAGGATAGAGTAACAACACTCTACGATGAGCCATATCTGGTATCAACCTGGCATACAAAACACGTTGCTCGTCTCCTAGAACTTCGGCATCTTAATCACAAAGGCGTATTCAAGACATATTTATTTAGCACTCGAGAGTATGTATCGAATAGAAACACGTTGCTGAGATCTACGACCGGCCTTCATTATTTGAATACACTTTTCTTCTCCCAGTAACGCTTCCCCCTCAGAGAAAATGATAAATACCAACGTGACGTTAAGCGCAGAAGACAAAGGGAAGATTTTTCCTTCAACAATAACGTATTATCTCACCAATCAACATTTTACAGATGCGAATCGATCGACAACATTGCCTCAAAGCAAATTCCATAGCTTCGCCACTTCGACACAAACTGACACCGCAGTTTCCACGCATGAACTGTATGCCTGAAATGTATGCGCAATTCCAAACACGACATGATTACCTTCACCATATGTTGTAAATAAATGAGTCAAACAACAATAACGGAAGCTCTAAACATGACAGAAAATCTAGCCATGACCGACACTACATTTATCAAATAATTTTGAAGAAAAGTCTTCTATAACACTTCTCTAGAAAATAATGGAAAAACTGATTTTAGAAATACCTTTATATTGACAATGAGTAGGTGTCGTGATGGTAACCTCAGTATAAGGTAACTTATTGAGAGAGCTTCCTCAATTACAAACAAGTCGCATTAAACGATCAGCATAGAAAACGAAGTCCGAATGCTCTGTGTTTCTGAAAAAGGAGGAGCTGTGAGAAAAAGCTGACGTTCAAATGCTGAAAAACTACGGCACAATGCGGATCGGGGGAAGGGGGGCAATCACCGCGCGCTATCTCTGTTCGTCCGCGCCCTGTAAGTACTAGGTCCAGGGGGGTCAGAGATTTGGGCAGGAACTTTGGGAAGATGAAAATCGCTGTGATCCTGGAATTCCTCCTCCCCTTCTCTAGCCTTATTCCCTATTTAGCGAAGAGGAACTGCCTGCACAGAAAAACGCAGAGATAGCGTGCGTCGACCCCCGAGCCACATTGCGCCAAAACTACTCCATTTTTGATCACAATTCAGAACTGAGAGCTTTGTCATTAGAAAAAGCTGGAGTCATTCGCATCAGGTTTGGTGAAAATGCTGATGCTCGAGGCTAATGTAAGTCAAGGATACATTCGAACGACAAAAGAAAGTCTGACACTTCTTTCCGACCGCGAAAATAGAGGTGTACCCTAATATTTCGCAGGAGCTTTTCGTGATGTATTTTCGTGGCGGGGAGACAACCTACTATGCGATACTACATACATATACAAAGAGTGGCGCTTTCTACGCCAACTTGAAGCTGTTCTTTCTTCATTTTTTACATAGACCTGCCATTGAACCTATGGAAAGAACTTTCCACGATTGAGAGCTATGATCAACTTGTTCCGCGAGTAGGACCGTTTAGCGGCCACCTGAACTGGGTTCCCTTTCATCCGCCTCAAATTTGATGGCTCCCCGCCGGCGCTCTCGCGCTGACGGAGGTTCAATGACTACTTACCATCTCATACATCATTCTTTTTCACACTGTAACTGGCCTCACCTATCCCGGAGCCCCTACCTTTTCAATGCTCAGTCCTGGGGAATCACCTTCCATTTCAAGACTTGGAGTCGAGCCAGACGCCGTTCCTCTCAGGTCTGTGCTCTAGCCATTAGCTGCAGGACCTTTGAGGAAAGTGTAAATGGTCGGTAAAGGACAAAGGTCGAGAGGCAGGGTGTCTAAAAAACCAGAACATATGCTGTTCTTGCGACACGAAGGCGGCGAAAAAGATGCTAGAGCCTTGTAATTGCGTTCGATGCAAACCGTGTTCACGATATGGGAGAGCGGTTCATTCATCGGTCGGCTGATGAGGTCAAAAACAGCGGCAGCGTCGCGCGACGAGCGAATGCTGCGGCGATTTTTGTATGGGTCTTAAGCAGTCCTTGTCCATAAGTTGCTGGTGGGGTTAGAACTGAATGAGACCAAAGTTCCAGACATCAGTGAGCCAACAAGTGTCACCTTAAGATCTCCGCAGTTATTTAAGCCTCACTGTACAGAGCTTGTGCGATGTAAAGGTTGTCCCTTTGAACATAATGAGACTTTTTATTAATCAACTGCCTGAATTGTGTTATCAATTGCACTTTTCTACAAATGCATGGTATCTTTGAGATCTATAGAAATAGTATTAACCATTCCAAAGACGTGCACAGAGGAGGCTATTATTGTCTACAGGACGAGCCATAACACAAGTCATATTATTCATATCTAGTATACGATGTGACAATAAGTATGTCGAGAAAATATGGCAAGCGTTCATTCAGAAAATTCATCAGTGATCTTTACAGCTTGCTCAGGGAAGCAGGTGAGCTCCATATATTATGTGCGTCATGATCTGACGTTCGTGAATAAGATTTATCACAAATCCTACCTATTTTGACGCCCTCTGTGCTTTGTGCCTACTCTCATTTCTCATGTAAATCAATGCGCATTGATACTCACTTGAAACGTGACTTATGTACAGATGTCTGCTACCATGAATGTTTTTTCGGTAGGGATTAATCGGCCACCAAACGCCCTTCGCGTAGCTTTGGATTACAGCATTAGTGATGCAGGAAGCATGCCGCATAAAAAAAACACAAAATAGGCAAATTTCCTGGAGATTTTTTCGATGAAGTTCTGGATTTTGAAGACTTTTTGTTCGAACAGGTCTTCGTCCGGAACACGACGTCGAAACGGTCCCACTTCTGAATCAGGTCCTAAGTACACAAAACGTGAACTTTCTAACACAACGGCCCGAAACCTCGCGGCGGTTGCGGCGGGTGCGCGCGACCTCGCCATCCGTCAACGATTGCACGATTGAGAAATGATGATGTCCAGGTCGCTTCTCACACTCGCCTCATGACCATAGCATTTAATCCCACACGTCGTATTTTTCTGTCGTTCGTCGCCTCAGACTAATAGTATCTGTTACCGCCGACGACATTGAACTTATGTAATAACTCACCGACTCGTACCTCTGTTCCTGTAGGTACCCCACCAAGAGAATGCCGTCGTTGCGCCAGCTGGATTTTTCAGTATATATGAATCTAAGACATAAGACTACTCAGAGGCCGCATACAGCTAATCGCAACCTAAAAAAGACTTTGAGAGAAATGCTCGATGGTCACACGGTTATCGTATTCACTTTTAAGGTCACAGAACACCTAGCATGAAAGATCAGGACATGCGACCTAGCCGTTCCATTGTCTACAGTAGCTATATGAAAGGCGTCAGTACAACCAGCTCTTTGATCTTATTCCCGAGTGTAGTGAAGAGTTGTGCGTCATAGATAACCAACTGAGAGATAATTCAGTGTATAGATCTCGCAACTCTAGACTTATGAGACTCGAGGAAGAATTATCGAAACAAACATACTCACGTATATGTTTTATATCGATATGCCCAATGAAAGTCCTTTGACTGTTATTGTTTTAACGATTAGGGTTTGCCCCGTTGCCATAAGTACCAGGCCGAAATGCAGTGATCTCTGATCCATGACCATATTTGATAAAGCCGCATAGGAAATTCCATAATTCGCATCTTTCTCATCGGTTACTCCAAAGTTCAAACAAAGTTCCGTAGTGGTTGGTAAGTTTCCATATGAAATCTAATCTTGCAGGTATGCTGATGCTCTATGGACCTGGATTTGTCTTCTAACAAGCACACTAAAGAGCCATGTTGAGTAGTTAAACTATGATAGACTCACGCGCTTTAAGTAACAACTTAATCCAGTATTGAACCGTGAGCGTATATAGACGACTTAATAGCTCCAGAGTCCTAAACAGCTTGATATTCAATATGAATACGGACTATGCAATGTTAATGCTAAGTCTCGGAGATAAGAAGTATTATTCTCCCTAATTCCCTCAGGATGAGCTCACGCACTTCTGATCCTTCATCCGAAGCGGGTCGTTGTGATAAGTTGACATTGCTTGCTAAATTTAGGCAACTTACACGATGGATTACTTGTTGACCAGCTGGCGTCACCAATTGTGCGCTGCAACACATACGATGCTCGCGCATGTGTGTATTATTCTGATGACTAGCCCGTCCAGAATGAATTAATTTGAATGAATGAATTATTGAATAGGAAGTAGACTAACTCATCACTTATACTTGTGATGCCATCTGCGAAAAATTGTCTGATGTTCTGTATGTACTGTGATGATTTCTAGAGTTCATTCTTGATAGCAACCCAGCTTCTATTAGTCATACAATTTTTATTTTAGCAGAGTGGGTGGACTCTAAAAACGTCAGATTCATGTCTGATCCATTTTCTTTCACCAATTATATTCAAATCAAATTCTAGCACGCATCCATCTGAAATTTTGTATTCATATTTACTGAACATGCAACCATTAGGTGCTGGACAATTCCAATGCTTTAGATGTTAATGTATTTTAAGAACGATCCAGTTTAAGTACGAAGAGAAGCTGCAGCAATAACCATCAATATAAGATTGTCCGACGCGCTCCAGAGGGATCAATGTGATAGCTTGTCAGGTTGCGAGCGGCGTACGATCTAGGACTCGATGCCGCAGGAGAGCGGGAGTGCGGGGCGTGATGGTGCACTAAGACGCATGAGTGACGACCAAACTTACATCTCTGCAACCATCGTCCCCTAGTCATTTTTTGTAAGAGCACAACCATGTTATAGGACCTCTAGTTCCTTTCCATTAACAATAGAGCCGGCGACGTCTCTCCGCTCTTCCTGTATTCTGCAGTGTCTTGCATTACAGCTCTGTGCCTATTCTAGTACCTCTTATCTTTTGTGGTTTCATCGCACCCCTCGACTGCTAGTCAGGAAATTTTGAGACGAGTGCCCTAAGCCAGAGATGCGTAGAACACACAAGCCGCGATGTAATTGACATAGAGGGGCAATTTGAAAAAGCATGAAAATACTTAATTCTAGCATAATATAGACAATGTGTACATATCATCGCACGTCCAAGAAGAATTTTGATCAAGTGAATTGATGTTGGTCATCTAATTTGGTCCAAAAAGAGAAGGGCGCGAGCTTAGAGAGGTTGTGCACACAAAAAGTGGTGACAAGTGAATAAGACCCCAATCGCAGCCCACCTCGATACGAGTGAGTAGAGTATAAGTCGAGACGTAATACAACGATTAAGCTAGACTCATACGCTGGACGAAACCTGGTAGGCCTTTAGAGAGTCTAGAGGCGTCAACCAATCTTATGAGATATATATTTGTTCCGGAGGGTACGCTTAACCTGGCCGAGAATCTTACACAGCGCGAGAACTTCAACCGCATACGCCTTAACCTTTGAATTTCACTCGCGTCGACCCTCAGATCTTGTTTAAAGAGTATTTCTTGTTGAGACATATCCATTAGACTTAAGCGTTGAAATTTGAATATACGTTGCGATGAGAGAAAAAAATCGCAGTACAAGCCTGAGATAAACGAAACCTATTCATCTGAGAATTTGCAATCCTCTTCTCTACTCATATTCTCACTGCATCCTATCATGTGTCCAACTGGGATTAATTTTCTCATTCAAAAGGGTTTCGCCGGTTCAAGTGTTTTCGCAAAGAGTACGTTGTCAACACCTCTCGCGTATTCTCTGATTCTTGCTGTCAGCGAATGTGGGGATTTGCCCTTTGTGGTCGCTAATATTCTGAGAATAGCCAGATGCACTCATCCGACCTGAGCAATCTCTTTATCGCGTCACCATATAAACGAATACTCGACCGAATAAGCCGTGATTTCGAAAGGTGGTGAACAATAGGACAGCCCTACATCGGTGAATGCGGATATATTCGATAAATCACTCTGTGTGAGTGTGGGTGCTTGTGCGAGAAGCGTAAGAATCTTTCCACTGAATGTGCAGTGCAGCTCCTAGTTTTCTTGACTAGGCTAGGGCATCTTCCAACCTCATTAGTATCGCAAAGGTAAGAGACCCTGCTGGGAACTGGGAATATGCAGAGGTATGGAATCTTGCACATTTGTATTAGCGCACCGAAGTTGTGAGTGTGCTTGTTTTGGTCCCGCGCGCTTGCATTAGTGTTGTGACGAAAGTCGAGTGCAATGTCGTTGGTCTTGGTAAGGCATTTCAGTTTTATCTTCCTTTGAAAACGCGCCGTTGATGGGTTTCCTGCATCCGTTATCAAAGCCGAGTAGTGTATGAGATTCCGACTTCCTAACTGTATATCGAGCTCTTTGCCTAGCGAGTGAGGTTGCTTTTCGCACATGATATTCCAAAATGAATGCCTCATCTTCCGGCAGTATCTCATGCGATGTAAATCTAGCGATACCAAACGCCAACCATCAAACGGACAGGCTTTTCTCGTCGCACTCGCTGGAATACCTTCCAACATGGGCATGCGCGGCACACACACGAAGCGAGTCGAGCAGCGCGTGCTGTGCGATGATATCGGCTGGTGCTCTTAAAGCACCAGAGGCACTGTGTTGAATCAGATCACGTGAACGACCGCTGAGCTAAATTTGTTGGATGCTGGTAGTATGTTACTCCAGTGAAGTGGGATCGGCATTATGTGTGAAGAGCACGCCCCAGTGGCCGAGCTGAGTATAGTGAACAAGAACATCATATTACCACAGGAACATGCCATATTCATCTCCGAGGGACGGTGAATAATTATGGTCTGATCGTTACCTTGTGTGGCAGGTCACAGCCCCCACCGGCACTGAACCGACTAGTTAAATGCTGTCCTAGATTCCACCTTGCCACGCATTTTAGCGATTCCTGTGATTTGATCATTATTCAAACATTTTTAGAAAAACTCGATAGCCCATCAACCGAAGCTTCTTTCCAGGGACCACGCCTTTTGTAACAATGCCTAAGTATGGCGCATACATCACGTAAATAAGTTACCTAAAATGTTTGAAAACCAGCTTAAAAAAGACTGTGACATGACATCATGTCACACGGTCCCACGTGGCCGAAAGAGTGTGGTATGACATCATACCACACGGTCGTCAACGTGTTAACCTCGCGTAACGCGACAGTATGCATAGCGACTCGCGCCTGCCGCGCGATGAGCCTCTTGGGACTCCTTTTCTGTCATCCTCCGTATAATCCATGTACATAACCGATGAATTACCAATTCTCCGCTTTTTAGCACAATTTTTGGAGTAGAAATCGTTGTGAGAACGGGAGCATGTCGAAATCGCCTCTCCAACAGCTTTAAGCCTACAGTAATTTAAGTTTCTATTAGAAGGGGAACGTTATCGTGGTAATCATTGACAACAAGACGGTTAGCATAATGTTTAATTTCGAAGCAAAAGCTGTGTTTCGGCGGATTTGATTTCCTTCAAAGTTGTTGGGGTCCAAAACGGCGATTCTTTTTTTGAGCTATGACTATTCAGCATTCCGCACGTAGAGTTTGAATGGCTAAGTAATGGCATCTAACGCGCCAACCATCTTAACTCACCTTTGTCTTTGTACTCTAAGGAATCCTTTCTGAAAAATCATGATTCCTATCTCACCCATGAATCACTTGCTGAGACCCATCATCCACGATAAGAACGGAAAGAACAAAAAAAAATTGCACTTGTTTTGGTAAACAATTCGAAAAACCGGAAGACTGCTACGCGTTCCTATTCCCGCCGACATCTGTCAGCGAATGCTGGGGCGTTCTCACAATACAGGCTCTCCTGAAACTTGTTTCAAGCGGAAGATGTCTAGTGTAATAAAGTAAGATATTTTTCGTGATATTGTGATAGTATAAAACTTCCAAAATGTGAGAGACGTACATGGAAATCACAAGCTAACTTCCACTCGTAGTGAAGGAAAGAGAGATCAGTAATATGAGAATTATGTTCTGCTGAGAAATATCTACATTCTTAATCGAACCAGCATCAGTAGATTGAATTCTCTTTCATGGTCGAACATGATAAGTATTCTGCTAAGTATCATCATCTTCTGCTCGGAGTAACTTTTATGAGGCGAGAGATTGCGGAGCAATTGTACAGTAATGAGCTGTAACAGAGCCATTAGTAATTATCTGTGAGATATCGTTTTCTCGATTGGGTCTTCGTGGTTGAAATTCGTTGTAATGCGAGTCGTGTAGTAATATAAGACATGAATGTAATTCATAGGTTCTGCAGAGGAAGAGAGCACTGACGAGCAAGATTAAACAGCGGACAAGAGATATACACTATATTGAGGATTAAAGGCAAAAGTCGGGCTCAATAAGGGGTATTATGGCGATTGAAACTGAGTATAGAGATGCGAAGTGGAACGACAGTGGAGAAAAAACTGAGAAAAACCGTCGACAAGGCCGTTAACAAAACCCTCTTTCCCACTAGCAGTGAAGGAGGCTGGCTTGGGAAAGAGGCACGTACAAACAAGTTTTCTGGAGATGTCAGTCGTTCTATCGGTTGATACGGCAATCAACCTGATTTCACACGTTATGCCAGCCACGCACCACTTCCGGAGGTGGGCGGTCCTGGATTGACCAGGCGGCCCTGGATTGAAACCGAACGCCCGGGGCCTTAACGGTGGTTTTTCAAGGTGGGAAGTTGCTGCAATGTGTGCAGCTACCCACATACAACCTCCAAGGCACGGAAATTACTTCTCTAGCGTGCCTGAGCCCGACCTTTGCCTTAATCTCGGCCTCCGGTGTCTCTTTCTCGCAGGAAATATCTACTGCTGTAGTGGAGCATGCCTTGGTTTTACACATAGAATAGAAATGTACGGTCGGAGGACTGTATTACTACTATGATCTTTTATTCATATACGACATATTATTATGGAATACAAATGCACTTGCACAACTGAAAGACATTATTATTTCTTGGTCGACTTTCTTATGTAACGACAAACAAAACGAGCAATGAAATCTCTTAGGTAGACATGAATGATAAAAAGATGAAGCGATCAGTGTTGTAGTTCCTTCTAGGATGTGCCATGAGCTCGACTTCCATTCGGTGGGTTCCGAAAGGAATAATTGACTTTGTTTCACGCGAATATGTTTAGCATTAATATTACTGTCGATTAAGGTGCGATGTCAGACTTTACGCATCGTGCGAATTCGCTAGCGTCGCGCCGCGTGCGTAACCAGCCTAACTAGTGATGTCGCTGCGGAACCCGACCGCAGACCTAAGCGAATCGGCGCTCCAAAGTTGACTGCTCGGCTAAAGATAGAAAGCTTTGCTCTATATAGGAGGCTCCGATCTCCAAAGAGAACTGTTGGGGACAGGTCATTGAGCAGGTTCTTAATCAAGCATATATCACTCTTTCCTATTCGAAATATGATAATTCTGAGTGATAAAAATGCGGAAACAAGCTCAGACCCCAAAATCCTTGTCTATCACTGTGAAGGAAAAATGGTAGGAATTCAAGTTATATGCAAAAATTTGAATGGATCTTAGCACGCCCGGAAGAATCGATCAACACCAAGCACTTCACCCTTTTAGAGTGGCCACTGAGAAAAAAAATTAACAAATCATCTTTTGACCAGCTGGATCGTGAGCCAGTCGAATGGGAAGGAATCCGATCTCGCCTTTGTTTTCACCGCTGTTCTCTGCGATCACTCTCAACTAAACATGAAAACTGAGATTATAAAAGCTGCTCTTTAATTCAAGGGAAAGAACTTACTTCGTATGTTCCCACCGGTAATCTCACGCAACGAACGTTCCACTTTTTATTTTCCTGAAAGTATTCTATTTTTTTCGGACTTACTTTCATGGAAAAGAATCATATCCACTGGGCTTTCTGCGTCTATACCGGCCAAGCCTGCGTTGATTTCTGACAAGCAATTGAAAGGATGAAGCTTTAAAATAACTAATATACGGAAAACGTCCATTGGAACTCCAGCGTAGGAGGTTGTAGATGACCTGTGGACAGGGGGAACATCGGTCGAGAATTCCTCAATGGCTTGCAGATGATTTTCGCGCGATAGTTTTCGCGCCGTAACATTAACATTCCATGGCTCAGTCGTCTGCTCGCTCTGTACCTCGACAGATGCCGTCAGGCGCAAAAAGCAGAGTGAACAGACACGCGGGCGCACTAGCTGTGCGATGTAAGGCCTTAGTATGTGCAATTCTAATTCACCTTGACGTGCAATCACCCACAGATCTGCTACAAATTCGCCGCGCGACGGGCATCTGTCGAGTGCCTGGTGCCTTCAACCGCGCACTGTACAAAGGAACACTAGTGAGAGATTCCCTTACCGTCTCTACGTAAGCATTTATACTGGGCTTCTTCTACAAGACAATTGGTCCACGCATCCGCTCGGAGCTCCCCCCCCACCCCTCTTGCCAGAATCGAGATTAGTGTAAGCGATACGGACTGCTAAATCAAACGCACCGCCCTTTTCCTCGTTTGCGATAGCGCCGAAGGTTTTTCAAAAGCGTTTCTATGGAATTTATTTAGCTAGGTAAAAGTTCGCCCAAGAGCCAATACAGCGTTAAGACCTGCAAATGCTATTCCTTCACATCAATAGTATTTCCAGTTAGAAGAGTATCCTTCCTGTAGAAGCAGTCCATTCTGTCGGTGCACACTGATAATGAAAGCCCTTGAGTGGCGAGGTACTCGTAGAAACAAAAGTATACTGTCTCCATTAGCGGAATGGTCAGAGCTTCGGAGACCAGTGTGTAGCTTCTGATATTTGGATCCAAAAACGGAGCCACGAGGAATTTTTGAGCTGAAATTAAATTTCATATCAGTTCAAACTTTGTCGGAAGTACGAAAGACCACACACAAAATTACATAATGGCTGGCAGAATTAGTGCGAGAAACAAGTGAGTCTTAGACTGCTAATGATTAGTGCGGTTGTGCTTCATCCAATTTGGGGGCTCTTGGAAGTTATTACCCTTAAAGGAATCTTCCACGGAAAGAGTGATCATTTTGTCTTGTGTGTAGGATTAGTATTATCGAAACTAACGCTTATGTTCCGTTCTTTTTGCTATGCTCATGAGGCTAGGGGCCTAAGGTATCGTTTTTCTGTGGTAATGGAGGCGGAGCTTTTTTCCGCGGAAGATTCCTTTAGCAGGCCCTATAAGAGCACTACATCAATTTCTCGTCGCACAGGATGCCGTTCTTGATAAATGCTTGATGGCAGAATATTCCTTAGGTGTCCCCACAAAAGCCTTTTCCTCACTGCTCCACCGTCTTCAGAATATGACGTCATCTGCCGTCATCGTCGAGCTCAACGAGGCTTACCGTAATCGCTCCGGCCTGAAGCTGCTACATAATTTCTTCAATCGATTAACTGGTGAATAGCTTCTCAGAGACACTAGCTGTGACTGTGCAAGATTGCTTTCTGACCAGCCGTAATGGTCTATGGTACCTCGACGACCTCGTTGAGCGTACCGTGAACCATGTTTCCGTGGGAAAATCTTCTGATGTCGTCGGTGTAGAAGGCTGTTGTGTACTTTTGATAGATTAGAATGTGCTCTTCAATATTCAGTTGGGCTCATTTGGTTTGGTTTCGCAACGCGTAAATTAATTCCGTTTTGAATGTGAGGGAAGTGACTCTTTTTTTGGCCCCCCCCTGTACATTTCAGTGTTGTCTTACTAGTATCCCGATTTTACTTCTCATGCTTGGGTGAATACCGTCACAGCACGAACCTGTGTCCGGTAGTTGATTTATGCCAGTGAGAGGATTAGAAAGCCTTCCTGGAGATCCGATTTCCCATCGATTTGTACCAGCAGAACGCCAGAAATTACAGCTGAGATCTGAAAAAATTGACATTTCCTCTTCGGCACGTAGTCAAGTCAACAAATAGACAGAATCCACTCGCAAATGACTATGTCTAAGCTAGCAGCGCTCAAAGCGGGTGCTACTCGGTCACTCAGAATGCATGTCCATATATGGGTCAGGACATGAAAATTGTGGTGGTGCGCGCAAACTGGATCACCAGGCTCGGCAATTCTCAACTAGTTGTCTCGGTAGGGAGCACTTTGAGGCTGGGAAAAGTAGGAGACCTTCGTCGTCGGATGAGTGTCCTGGCCCATACCTTGCATGCGCGTATGACCACGAAAGCACAGTTATGCAATAGACCGCAGCCAATTGCATAGCTCTGCTCTCGTGGTCCCTTTTCCCTAGGTTTTATTTCATTTCGCTGAGTGGAATGATAACACCACTTCAGGAGCTAGAAATTATTGCAGTACCAATTCAAATTCGTACTCACCGGATGGGTTACAGGAAAGCTCAAGGCAGCTTTCAAAAAGTGCTGGTGAAAGCAGGAACGCAGGTGGCTGCGGCGGAGTAGATGTGGTGAGGATACTCTTTGTGAACGTTCGGCAGCAAACGATTGCACGAACGAATTTTTCTCATGTGGTACGACGGACATCACCGTGAGAGGACCCGCGCAAGTTTTTCTGATGTTTTTCCACGTGATCCATCTTCAAGTGACTCGAGACTGGATAAGCCTTCCAGAACCTGAATTCATAAGTAAAAGTTATTTTGTCAGAACTATCAGAATGGTAGCCTTCCACTGCGAAGATCTCCACTTAATTCTAGACCTGCAGTATTCCGGGTGCATTGCACGATCAAATGTCAAGGTTGTTTCATTCGAAAATACAGGATGAAGATAAATAGGGATAGAGTGAAGAAAAAACCGTAAAAAACATCGGAAATATCCGAATAAAGCCCTCCTTTTAACGAGGTGGATAGTACTACGATGAAGACACTGGGCACTGAGGAATTAAGAGATCAGAAACTACGGCGGTCAGAGAGCCACAAATACCGCAGTGCGTAGTCCATTAGATTGCGAATAAGAGGTATCGGCGGTTGAATAAAAGATAATTTTTCACTACTTCCTAGTGCAAGAGTGGCATATTTCCCGCCGTCTGTGAATAGTTTTGTTCTAGCCAAGGAAGGAAAGGGATTTGTCTGGCATACGTAGATTTGTCTTTAGTGCTCAAAATATCATTGCACTCTACTGAGAATGATGGAGAGCGGAAAACTTCCAGAGGACGTCGTAATCATTATTATTCCTCAGATGTTTCTTTGATTAGTATTGCTCTAACCAGCCCGACATTTCTTTTTCAGAGATACGCTTGGACCATACTAGCCTAGAAGCGAGGTAGCCGTGCGCCCAGAGTGACGCCGTAATGTAGGATCAACTTAAGAAGGTCTGTTCAGATTTTTCAAGTTGTTTGAAAATTAGTTGATTAAATAGGGAGAGTTCAACTCACTTTATTTTTTGTTTGTATAGCGGCTGCTTAACCTTGCCTCGGATATGTAAGCACTATTCGCACGTCAGCTGGCACCGAAACCCTTACATATTGAGTTGGTACATAATATCACCGCGTTTTTTCTTGTGGACCATCACGCAATGCGCTGCAAATGATGCCCTGGCGATCTAGCACGGCCGTCGCCGTTTGAAGCTAGTAGCTGTTCCACAGAGAGGATAGCGTTGACACAATGGGCCGAAAGGAGCTCTATTTCTCGGGTTCTGGGCACTTCATCATGATTGATTCTTGCATCCATTGCCACCACTGCCTTGGTTTCAAAATGGGCTGGCTTTCCATCCGTGAACGTCCGCCTTATGATAATTCTAGCGACCTCGGACTACGTTTCACTGGTCGACTCGATGTTAACCTCCTTCAAGAACTTTAACGGAGGAAAATGCAAGTCTAGCGTCAACCGAGTTAGGCGTATCCGCCATGGGGGGGGGGGGGTGGGGGGGAGGTTTTCTTGTTACGACATGGAACGGAACGGACGACGTTTTACTGTTGCCCGTCGAGGAAGTCATGGACAACGAAACAAAATGAACCAGTGCTCGTAGAAGGTAAACAAGAAGTCACTTAGGAGTTGGTTTAACTACAGATAATAAAAAATTCTCACAAGAAACCGAAATGTCGTGATTGATCCCTTGCGACTGAAAAGCAATCGCCCTTGAGAACAAGACCTTGGCGAATGCTTTTCAGTAGGTCAGTTGTATGGCGTGAAGTGAACATAAAAAAGGATAGAGCATTTGCCGCTGATCAATCCCCTTTTGGGATGCAGCACGCATTCATTTTTTTTTTTTTTTTTTTTTTTTTTGTTCTGTTCTTCCATTTCTGCCTTCGTGTGGCCGTTGACTGGATGCGGCCTCTACAATGACTCCAGGGCAACTGCATTTTACGATTCAGTGTTTTATCCTCACAGACACATCTACATACCCATCATCGACCCCGGATGAAGGAAAAGCATGGTTGACCTCGCGACGACAACCCAGATTTATCCTTGACCGCTTCGCGGTAACAAGCCACTTGCCACTACACCACTTCCGCCCGAATCCGCCAAAGCGGTGCAGTGGCAGTATTGCAATCAAACTTTGCGGAATAAAATTGGTATAATGGACCAACCAATGAAACACCGTGACTCTATGCACAATAGTTGCTAAGTAAAACTCACAAGGCGCGCACCATCCTAAACTAAACTGACATTGTCCTTCCCCCACTTTTCTGAGGGTGCACACCCGGAAAACGAAAATAGGAATAAGGACCTTGAGAGGTCCGACTGGATCGTAGGTTTCTTGGAGTATGCCGCCGCTAACTGCTGAGGATCCAGCTCGTCAGCCGGTTGCCGTCGGAATGTTTCGCCTTCATTTATCAGCACTGGATGATTGTTCGGAATCTGTCACCATTGCACGTCAGGCTTCCTTCGACAACGATATCTTGCAGAAATATCGCGCCTCCTTGTGGTGCCACAAAATTGTTACCGTAGACCATCACGAAATGGTTTTTTCGGAAAGAATCATATCATATTTGTCGAATATAAAATTGAATGATCATTCATCTCACTGAAGATGGGTGGGGTTTTGCGTTGATTCGGGTTATTGGCAGCGGGTACTTCGACGCTGATTGGAACTCCATTTCTTACATCGAATTCGTTACAGTTCACCAACGGAAACCTTACTTCAGCGACATTTTTCGAACAGACCTAAACAGGGGGTAATTTTTCAAAGAGTAAGTAACATGAACTTGAAACTATTCTTTGACCTGTAATTTAGGTTGGTCGTGGCTGGGACCGCTCTGCGTTTTCCATGCTGTCGCAGTTATTCGAATTCCATTTCGGTAAGCACGGAAGGGGTCGATATCAAGCTGACTCCTTCCCACCAGGGCGTTAGTATGTTGAGAAACACCATACCGATTCTGGAACACTTACTCTGAACACTCTCTCGAAATATATCACAATGCAAAGAGGCGCCTCGCCCACCTGTTTGATCAGTATACCGATGCCGAGCCAAATCAACTCGACCCTATTACTTCCTACCTTCTCGGGAATGAATGAATAGGTAGGAAACTCACTCAGGAGGACAAAATTCCATAACCTTAGCTTGTTTCTTCATGTTGCTTCAGCATTGTGGACAAAACGCGCATAGAAGCTCCACAACAGTTCTGTATCTAATGTGAAAGTTTGGCGCCACCCTAAACTTCTCATCGTCGACCCACAACAGTTTCTTTTGTCATCGTAGGCAACGAAGGCAGACAGGTAACACCGCGACAGGAGGCCTGTCGCGCGGCACCAAGGCAGAGTCAGTGAGCGAGTTGCAGTGTGCACTGTAGTGATTTTGCGTCAAATTAAATAGAATGTACCATTGGTCCTATCGCACATCACGTGCTGCGACCCTCCCGCTGACACTGCCTTCTTGGCGAGCGACGAATCTGGAAGGTACCCAAGCAAGTAATAGAACTCGCCAGGCATCTAACCCAGAACTTTCGCCTCGAGGCAGTGACAGAAATCGCCGTTCGGTCACCGCTTCAGAGTTGTCCAGTCTGAACTCTTTCTCGTTGGTGTTTCGCCTCACTTTACCCATTTGCAGCGAAGGTTGGACAGTTCAAGATGACACAGAGCCAGTCTGAAGCTCAGAAAAGACCGTTTATCTATCGTAAGTTCATAGAACTTGTAACAAAAAACTGGCAACGTATATAAACCTCGTCGTGCATAGCACGAAATTCGTCATGATGGTGATGATCGTGTGAGTGCGAAGTGTCATGAGATTGTGCTTCAGAACGATACGGTCCAGCTACGCGATTTCCATAATTGTAACCTCCTGACCGAGTGAAATTTCTGATATATCAGTGATCGATTCAAAGAAAAAGTGAATTTAATCGCGAAATCGATTTGATATCGCTATAAAAAACGTATATTCTTTTGGATCTTGTTGAAACTAGTTCAATGTGACAACTATTGTAGGTCTGTCCTATTTTTGCAACAAAAGAGTGTCCCACATTTGAATTTTGAGCTAGAGGATGTACATCCCTGTTGCCGCACCGAACTTATCATACTTTAGGACTTCGTAAGGCCTCTGGTATTAGGTAGCGTCAGGAGCATAGAAAACCATGCGTGATATCGATTTTCCCCATGTTATTGCCATGTGTGATGCAGAGTCTGCAATTACGGCCAGACTGCCCGCGAAACATGGTATAATTAATTCGATTGCCACTCATTCTACAAATATTCATTCACCCTATATACTAGAATATCCACGGATCTCTTTCACTGAGGGTCCTCTCTCACTGAAAGATCTCGAGCCGGTTGGTGGCGAGGCTACGTGGCGCGACCCCAGGTGGCGGATAGGGGGTAAATCGCGGACCAAAAGCCACCATGTACTTGCCCTGAGACGCAGGTGGATTCAGGATGGACTCCCTGTTTCTGTAGTGCTGTGTTGATTCATACCAGCTGTCTCCACTCAGGCGCATCCATGCATGCTTGCGTGTGTGGTGCGCTCTGTGTGTGTGCGGTTGGTATCCTGCATG